AGAACAGCCGAAACATAAAGACTGTTAGCGAGAACAGCCGAAACAAAAACACTGTTAGCGAGAACAGCCGAAACATAAAGACTGTTAGCGAGAACAGCCGAAACATAAAGACTGTTAGCAAGAACAGCTGAAACATAAAGACTGTTAGCGAGAACAGCCGAAACATAAAGACTGTTAGCAAGAACAGCTGAAACATAAAGACTGTTAGCGAGAACAGCCGAAACATAAAGACTGTTAGCAAGAACAGCTGAAACATAAAGACTGTTAGCAAGAACAGCTGAAACATAAAGACTGTTAGCAAGAACAGCCGAAACATAAAGACTGTTAGCAAGAACAGCTGAAAACATAAAGACTGTTAGCAAGAACAGCTGAAAACACACAAAACAGCCAAAAATACAAAACAGCCGAAAACAAAACAGCCAAACAAACACAAAACAGCCGAAAACACACAAAACAGCCGAAAACACAAAACAACAGACAAAATAACAGTGGAACACACACAAACCACTGTAACAGCTGATCACACACAGGTCCAGATGATGAGACCAGAACCACAGACCTGTGTAGACCAGGACAGAGATGAAGCAGAGACATTCCTCTGCTGCTCTGCTTCACGTCAGTCTGAACAAACAGCCGAAGGTTCGTCACTCAAAACAACTGAAACTGAACTTTTATTTATTTCAGAGAAACTAAAGTTTCTGTTGAATTTAAACCTGATTATTTTCAGCTTTTATTTATTTAAAAATAAATCTGAAAATCCATTAAAGCTTAACTTTCTGAGATCAAACTGCAGACTTTGTTCTATTTTAGCTGTTTATATCAACATTCAGCTGATGGCTGCTGAATATTTTGGTTTTTGTAACTTTTTGTACTTTTCAAAATATTTTACCTTTAATTTTTTAATAATAGAAACAATATTTTAATCTGCTTCAGCTATGGGCTGGTTTTGTCTTCCTGTGTTACTTTTCTCCACAGTTCTACTTTTAGCTACTGTTCTCTTAATTTTAGCTAGCCTTTGGCTACTTTACTTTTAGCTAAAGTTTTGTTACTTTTACCAAGCCTTTTGCTACTTTAGTTACCGTTATTTTATTTATAAATATATTATAAATATTTTACTTATAGGAAGCCTTTTGCTACTTTAGCTACAGTTCTGCTACTTTTACAGTTTTGTTACTTTTTGTAATCCTTTGGCCACTTTAGCTAGTTTCGTTACTTTTAGCTACTGTTTTGTTACTTTTACCAAGCCTTTGGTAAATTTTAGCTACTGTTTTCTTATGTATGGCAAAAACATTTAGCTACTTTAGCTATAGTTTTTATACTTTTAGCTACTGTTCTCTTAATTTTAGCAAGCCTTTGGCTACTTTACTTTTAGCTAAAGTTTTGTTACTTTAACCAAGCCTTTTGCTACTTTAGCTACTGTTATTTTACTTATAGCAAGACCTTTGCTACGTTAACTACTATTTCATTAGTTTTAGCTAAAGTTTTGTTACTTTAACCAAGTTTGGCACATTTTAGCTACTCTTTTCTTACGTATGGCTTTGCTATTTTTTGCTAGTTTTATAACTTTTAGTGAGCCTTTGGTTACTCTTTTATCATTTACAAAGTGTTTAGCTTTGCTACTTTGAGCTTTGTTTACTTTCAGATTCTTCGGCTGTCATTCGGCTCTTAGCCGCAGTGTTTCAGCAGAGAAAGTATTTTTTATTTCTGGCTTTCTGAGGCGAGGGGTTTCTGCTGATGTCAGCGGTTTCTGCTGGACTCGGGTCTCGTTTGTGTTTGAAGAGTAAATGAGAGCCCATCTCTCGTACGCGTGAAAGTTTCGGCGCGTTGGCGTTAAAATCAGCTGAAGACTCACTGCTGGTTAGGCCGACGAAGGGCAGCATGGCGCCGGCGTCTCTGTGTTTACGGTCCCCGCTGTTTGGAGACTTCACCTGGGTAAACTGGTCCAGGAAGTCCTGAGAGGGACCAGAGGTCTTCGTTCCCGGGGACGCCGAGGAAGAGGAGGGAGGAGGTGAAGATGTTTGGCTTCTGCTGCCTTCGGCCTCTAAAAGAAAAATCAAAAATAAAGGGTTTAAAAAATAAAATACATTAAAGTGAACGAGTCGACGTGTCTGTTAGCAAAATATCTCCTGAACCACAGAACAGATTTGAGGGATGAACGTCTGCGGCTGATTCAAGATGGCCGCCACAGCTAGATGACTTTATTGAATCACGACGACCTCCAGCAGACCTGCTGGGTGCTTCAGAAGATATTTTGCTAACACAAGCTCATCCCTCTGCTTGTATGGCAGCAGAAAATAATAAAACATAAAAAAAACTGCAGTTTTCTATCAAGTTTGGACAGTAATAAAAAAGAAATAAAACAGGAAGCATCTTTTATAATTCAGGAAAATAAAAGCTTTGCTCTTGTTTTAATTTGAAAGGGTCTGTATTATTTTAACCTACACCTCAAAAACACTAAAACTGCATCAGAAACAAACTGAGACTTTATAACATCTGAAGTGTCAGACTGTAAAAGTTTAAAAAGCCTTAAAAATATATAAAATTTAAGAAATAAATCAGGTTTATCGTACTTTGTTTGAACCTTTTCATTTAAAATATTAACTTTCTTCAGCCTAACATTCTCACCTCATTTCACTGAAAATAATCTAAATATTTTATATTAATTCTGAGATTCGGCTGAGGATTATTATTTGTTTTATCAGCTTAAAGTTCCTTTAAACACTAAACAAATGTAAGTGAAGAGTTGAACCCAGAACCAGAAGCAGCTGAAGCTTTTTAAAGCTGATGAAAGCAAACAGGAAGGATCAGACCTGCAGCAGCAGAGAGGTGCAGACACACAAACAGCAGAGTCCTGAAACAACAACAACAGAGTTTAAATCATTACAATTTAAAATATAAAACTTTATAAAAAGACTTTCTGCTCACCTGAACATCCACGCCATCTTCATGCAGCTCCACAGAAAAACGTTTCCATCAAATTTTAAACAAATTAAAAATAAAAAGAAGAAAAAAATTCCTAAAAAAATCTCCAAAAATGAGAAAAAGTCCAAGAATTAAAAATAAACTAAGCCTGTCACTCCCTGAGACAACTGCTGGTCCTCTGAAGCTCAGAATGATTCTCTCCAGGTGACTCTCCTGCAGGGGGGGAGGGGCTCCGGAAGCCCCGCCCACTCCAGATTGTTTATTCCTGTCTGAAGGCTGGAATCAACAACCAGCTGATGAAGATGATGATGATGATGACACCTCAGCAGTATTTTTTTTTAAGTTTTAAATATAAAACAAGTTTATTTAAATTATTTTATAAAACTTAATATTAAGTTAAAGAGGTTGAAATAAAGCTGCACTGAGACGTCAGAATTAAAGTTTTAACAGCAGACGTTTTTATTTTTAACATTAAAACTGTTTTGATTCTGGGCTTTGATTTGTGTCTGAGGTTAAAATAATAAATTAGTGATAAAAAGGTCTCATCTGTCACAAACGTCAGCCCCTCCCCCTGTAAACCTGCTGTTTTCACATTCAGACACTTTAAATAAATCCTAAAATTAAAGCGTGTTTTTGTTTAAGACAAATGATATTTATTCATTTTTAAACAGATAAAAGAACTGTTTCTCTGTGGTCTAAATCTTTATTTAAAGTTTAAATCTGAAAGTTTTCAGTCAGTGAGTAAAAACCTACAGAACTTGTTTTTTGCAGTTATTTGAGGAACCGAGGGGGGGTTCCTCAAATAACTGCAAAAAACAAGTGGGAGGTCAGAATAGAATCACAATAAAAAGTCTGAGCTGCTGCTAATCCACAGCAGCAGGAGGCAGGAACACAGGAAGTCTGCAGGAGACCACCATCATCATCATCATCATCATCATCATCATCATCATCATCATCATGGTGCAAGGGGTGTTTCTAGGATCTGACGTGGGGGGGTCTCTATTAAAACCATGTATTATTTTGAAAGAGAAAGTCTGCAGCCTTCATCAGACCTGCTGACATGAAGGACGCAACATGTTCAAGTTTAACAGCCGAGGACTTCATCTACTCAATCTACTTTTAGTAGAGTTGTAAAGTAACTAAGTACAGATACTTTGTTACTGTACTTAAATAGAATTTTTGGGTATCTGTACTTTACTTGAGTAATTATTTTTCAACCTACTTTTTACTTCTTACATTTTAAAAAAGACAAGAAGTAGAAAGTCGTTACTTTTATTTAATGCACACTATTGTGATTRGTTTCCCATCCAAGTCATCTCCACTTTYCCATGCTTCTCCTCCTGCATACTTTGTCCTAGAGCTGCRATTGTAATTTATATCTGTAAAGCTCCTGTGCCAAATGATGGCTATGCCTTTTGGTGCCTGTAAAACTTATAGTTTTTGAAATATTAATGTTTAATAAATTATAATGGCAGTCAATGGAGCCTTGTATTGGTCCAACACTGCCCCCTGCTGCATCTACACAATATGGTACTGTACCATAGTTTCATAATATTTAAACTC